CATGTTTATGTATGTGATTGGCCACCTTGAGCTGTGCACATCTATCACTCATGGATTTGTCGGAACCGGCCTCATGTGTGTGCCACCAAGGTGGCCCTTTGCGCATGCTCTTGCACAAATGGAAGCCGCAGGGTTTCTGTACTGCCAGGAGTGGAAACTGCCGCGCTGGTCGCCGAGCCCCCGACCTCGCCTGGGGCCCCTCGCATCTGCGGCCCGTTCCGCTGACGCAGTCCACTGAGGGCGCCAAACGCAACCCCCAGTCTCGACGTGATCAAATCCTTTCACCCCTTCAAATTCCCTAAATTCCCCGGCCAACCCCTGATTACGCCCTCAAAAGCCTTCGCACACATCACCCCAAAAATGCCTTCGCACTCTGCCCTAACAGCCCACCCCCCCACCCCAACCCCCCACACATACCCCAGGAGATCGCCCCTACCCTAGACCCCCTAGGCCTCGACCTCCTTAGCCGCATGCTCGTCTACGACCCCGCACAGCGCGTCACCGCGCGTGAGGCGCTGACGCACCCCTATTTTGCAGACCTCCAGGCACTGCTGCAGGCCCCGCCGCGCATCTAGCCGCAACCCGCGGCCGCGGCCACGGCCGCGGCGCCGCGCGGGGCATGCTGCGGGGCGTGGCGGGGCAGCGCGGGGCAGCACTTGCCGCTGTTGCGCGCATGCAGGGATCCGTCGGAAGGAAGCGCACCTGCCCTGCGGTCAGGGGCTGGGCTGCTGTTTGGGCTCTTGGCCAGACGCCCTGCGGCATAGCTGGCGCGGGGCCGGGGCCCGTTGTTGCGTGGCACCTCTCAAGCCCCACGGGGCCCCCACACGGCCCACACTGCCGGGGGGGCACCACACGCATGCTGCCTGGGCCCGGCAGCACGGCCGCGCCTAAGCCCCACGACTGCTGATGGTCGATGAGCGGGGGCCGCGCCGCAAGGTGCCATCGCCGCGCAACGCCGCAAGCCCGCGTGCCTCCTCGCACAACGCGCTGCTGCAGAGCTCACCACTGGCTGCGACCCAGAGCCCCTGTGCGCCTAGGCGATCGCTGCATCCCCTGCGCTGCCGGCCGCCGCGGTCTCGTTGCTGGCCCTCACTTCCGCCCCCATCCTTGTTTGGCGGCCGCGCCCTGGCGAGGTGCGCCTACCTATGATGAGGCGCGCCCCGCCTTTCTTACCAGCCGCAAAGCGCAGGCTGACCCGCCTCGCATCAAATGAACGTAACTCGCTTTTTGGTGCCTCCTTTGCTATTCCTCGGCCGCGTGCGTTGCCTTGTCCTGCACAGGCCTCACGCTGCCACGAGTGAGCTTTGTTGTCATGCCGTGCTGGCGGTCGTTCGCCTGCCTGTGGGCCCAACGCCCTGTCAGCCTGGGGTGGTGAAGTGGGAGCCGGCCAGCTGCCACCCGCGGCGACGGCTGCCTCAGATGCTGCACGACCTCCTGCACAGTGTGGTGATGTCATGTCTTTCCTCCTTCAATTCAGTGTAGGTTTCAGCACGACATGATTGATGTGAGTGTCAGTCGTTATGTTGCTTAATATGCTTACTCCCTTCCAGGTGGCGGTGTCGAGCGCTCCCAGTCGCGCCTGTAATGAGGCTTAACGCTTGCGACCTGGCAGGGACAAACCCTGCAAAACCCAGCAAATGATCCGCCGACACGCCTCCATTCAAGCCGGGACACTCTGCAGGGGACCGCCCTGCATGCCGAGGGCATGCCCTCGGCAGCGTGCAAGCAGCAGCCCGCATGCGAGGCAAGCGCGGCACAACGCCTTCCAAATCCTGATTCGAACTGCTGCATCACAGACTCAAGGCGGCACTCAACGCTCCACTGACTGGGTCCACGGCGGTCTCGTGCACGGCTCCTGCACCGACTGAGCGCGGCGGCCTGGCCCGACCCTGTGTCCTCGGGCCCAGCCACGGCAGCGACCCGCCGGTGGAGCGCAGCTCGGCACGCTTGGCGCGGCAAGCCATCAGCCGCGTGCGTGTCCGGCCCAAATCACCCTCAACGTTTGGCGAGGGCTTCTTAGCCACAGCGCGCTCCTGCCAGGCACGGCCAGCGCGTTTCAGCACGGGGTCGGGACGGGCCTCGACTGAGGCGAGCGCCGAGACGAGGCCGTTTGGTCCACGCTGCCAGCCCTCTTGAAAGGCGAGGTGTAAGGGAAGGTCTTGGTGTGTTTGGTCATGTTCAGCGTGCGGCGACGCCTGTGAGAAGGGACCACTAGCCTGGCCTGCCTGCAGAAGCAACAGCTCCCAGCCAACCCGAGTAAGCCTGTGTGAGAAACACCCCCCGCACCCTCCGGACGCCATGAGCAAACCGTTGGTTGCTGCTGCGCCTTTTCTGGGACGCGCGTCGGTTGCAGTGGCTGCAGGAACGCGGTGCTTTGGTGAGCGTACCGTTGCGCAACCGGGCCACTGAACGTCCCTGGGTTACGCTCCGCAGAAGCGGGCGGCTTGCGCCATGCGCAGACCGCTATTGCTGCGGAGGCCAGCTGTGGCAGGCTCGAAAGGCGTGCATACAGCAAATTGCGCTGCCCGCGCCACAGGCTGCCGCTGCACGCGAGGCGACTGGGTGTGCGTTCCATGTGGGCTCATGATTTGTCGCATTGTAGGCGCGTGCTTACGCCTGGGTGCCTCACAATCAAGGGTGTCCCATGGGGTTCACATCATATATACTGATCAAGAAACTCTGCATTGGGAGCTTCGTGCTCACGCGCGTTGTGTTGTGCGCCGAACAGACACGTTGCGATTTTGCTGTGGCTACTTGCTGCAGCATGCACACCGTCGAATACTAGGCTATAGGCCAAGCAGGAAACGCGGGCGGATGCGGAAGGCAAAGTGCGTGTGTTGAAGTGTCAAGGGGAGGGCGGCGCTGCTGACTCCCCGCATCAGCGCGACTGCTGCTCAGCGCGCGCGGAGGCACATGCACATTCCATATGTCGCACAGCACGCTCAATAGCATCGCCCCGCGGCGTCTGGCACGTGCGCGCGCCCCTCGCTTCTGCAGGGAGCTGATTGCTTCTTTGGAAGACCTCCGGCTGACCACCGCAAAGCGCGTGCAGCAGCTTTCGGCCGAGCGGCAGGTGACAATCCCTATACACAGCCCTGCTGCGCGGCAGCCTGCGCACCGGCACGCAGTCGCATGCCCCTGCAGCCGCGCGCGCGTTGCAACTGCCGCCGGCCTGCCCAAGCTCTGCCCCCACCGCCCTGACGACACCCAAGCCTCCCAAGCCTCTCCCTTCGTCCCCTCCACAACCTCGTCAGGTGCTGCGCACGCGGGACGCGGCGCTACGAGGGCTGGTCCGCAGCTTGGAGGGGCTGATAGAGGCGTCTCGACGCATCAACCAGCACACCGCGGGCGGCAGCAGCGGCGCCGGCGGCGCCGAGGACGCCGGCGCGTCGGAAACGCACGCAGTGCCGCTGCAGGCGCTCGCGTCGCTGCGAGAATGGAAGCATGCGCTGCGGCCGAGCGGCGGCGAGCAACAGCGGCAGCAGCAGCAGTGCCAAGGAGGCTCTGACCAGTCGCAGGCGAGCAGCGCAGGCGGGGGCAGCGGGACCTCGGCCGCAAAATCGAAGGCCGCCGCTGGCTGCGAGGAGGGAGGCGGCGGCCAGGGCAGTAACAGCC